TCCCAAAGCCTTACTGAGGTAATATTTTTCTATTCTTTCCAATTACTATTATTCCTAACATACAGTGGTGGGTAATTTAGTCGGCGCTTGAAATTACTTTATGCGGAAACGTTTTCCTTCGTTTATATATTTGGATAATGACCCAGTTTGTTAGAAAGGACTAGAAAGAGCTTCATCCTGTATTTCCATTCATCAGCAGCCTTCAAACACGATTTTTACAATCAATTCGTATTATACCAAACGTACATAACACAGTCGTCTCGTTTAACAACCTATGCTGAAAAAACTTTAAACCTATTTACACGCAGCAAATATACAAATTCTCTGAGGGATGGGAGGTCTTATATTTGGAGAAAGGCAGAAAATGGAGCTACATTATTGGTGGGAACATGGCAACGAGAAAAACAAGAATAAATTAGTGGAATGAAAAGCGTTCGTTGATCCCCGTGGGATTTAGACTGCCGTTCGTTGATCCCCTGTGGGATTTAGCATACATGTATCTCGAAAATCATACATTATGCAGATAGTGGATAATTCATTTGTTAATTTTCACTGGATATATACATATATTTTTGTTTAAATTGAACAGATGAGCAAGGCATCTTCAATCCGGTCATTGACTTGCAATCCTTTAGCACCTTTAGTTTTGGTGCTCTGGCTCATGGCCTCTGGGTTCTGTTGTCCATTATATTTAAATCCAGGAAGCTGTCTGTGCAAACCTTTTGGCCACCATCGAATCAGTATTACGTGCAAAGGAATTACAAACATACCGCGTGACCTTCCCCCCAACACGGCAATACTGTAAGTACCTTCTTGCAACTTCGTTCTTGTATTAGATCATATTAGGAAACTGAAAGACAAAGACAATCGATAACCTTCCTCTCAAGTCAATCCTTTTCTACTACACCGCTCCTTTATCGACTTTTTCCTCTTTAGGGATTTGTGAAACCACCAAATGAGCTCCTCGTGGGCTGAGGCCGAGGAACATTTTCGTATCACACATCACACAGTAACATAAGAAGCAATCATTTGCATAGCTGAGAGGGCTGAGAAAATGTTGTAGTGTTTCGATCAATAGTGTAATTTTATGATCAAAAACTGGAAAACTGAGGACATCCCTCCCAAGAATCCCTCTCAAATCAATCCTTTTGTACTCCATCGCTCCCTTATCAATGTTTTCCTCTCTAAGGACATGTCAAGCAATCGACTGAGCTCGATCCAAGATTATACTTTTAGAAAGCTGACAATGCTCAAGGCAATCTAAGTGAACGAAAGAAGCTTGCTCGCGTATCAATGTTTAATGATCGTTTCATAAGCGCGCGTTACTGTAAATACGAGATAGTAGCAACTTTACGATCCAGACATTGTGTGTTTTGTCTGGAGCGTCGCCGTATGTCGCCTGTTGTTTAAAGAACCAACGAGGTTCCGGCGTAGCATCGAGTAAGCTTTAATCAATCCCGTATCGCTTGCCTGTTTCTTTGATTTTGTTGGAGCGATAAGCTTTTTTGGACAACAAATAAAATGTCAAGTGCTATGTTCATTTTATTAAGCTTCAAAGATACGTACCATTACACAGGACTACATCGTTCTTTGTGGCGTTTGTTATTGAGATGACATTTCCCAGTTTTTATCTATTTACTTATTTTCTTTGTTCCTAAGTACCAGCCTTTTTAAATAGTTCTAAATCTAACTCTAAATCTAAATATCGTTATGTCAGGAAAATCGTTTAGGACATCACGCCAACTCTAAGATAATAATAAGTGAAGCTATACTAAATATACAACACTATTAAAAACTATTGAAAATTATCAAAAACTATTTAAAACTACCGATAAATAAATTTAAGTTAGTTTGTTTTTAAAAATACGAAGGGATTGGCTGGAAACAGCTTATTTTGGGAGTTTGTTCCATTCAGTTATTGTCCTGGGGAAAAAAGAAAATCTAAAAATATCTTTATGTCCTTTCGGTACAATAAATTTAAAATCATGGCTTCCTCGAGTTCTCCTTTCTTTGTTTCAATA